ATTTGTTTCATAAATTTGTTTCATAAATTTTATTTATATAATCCTTTTGCTGATTTTTAAAGTGTTACATAAACAGGACAGGTGAAATATTATCATGTAAGGCAACCATAAACACATGAAAAGACCTAGGTTTACAATTTATGATTAAAACTCTTACTATCTACACAATATACATAGACATAAAATGTAAAAACTTAAATATCTTAGAAACAGTAGCCAATCAGTTGTTTTAATTGTCATATTTGAATTCAGCACATCAAAATACATAATAAATAGCACATTTTATCTCTGAAGCAGACGACTTCTCAAAAATGTAGACCAGTGTTACCTCACCATTGACTACTGAGAGCTGGTCATAGGCTCAGCTCAGGGTTTTGTCCTCCCTCTGATCCCTCATGAAGTCAGTCCCTCTAGTTATGATGCCCTCCCCTTTCAGGGTCCAATAGGGGGAACCAATATTGTTTCATTATTAGGGAGAACCTCTGTGGGAGATTCTGCTGGGCTGGACCCCACCTCTTCAGGGTCCAGCTCCTCACCTATACCTACCAATATCCAGGTTCCCTTCCCAGAGTCTCCTCAGTTTACCCCTCCGGGGGCTTAAATTCTCCCAGTACCTCTGAGAAATGCTCCAAATTCCATCCCAAGATAATGGCATAGACTAGCATTTGGGGGCAGCTCCACTACAAGGGACTTCATGTTTGCTGTCAATTGCATGTGGGCACTGGGATAAGGTTTCAAGTTCCCAAGAATACATTGTAGAAAGATGGTCCCAAACCTCATAGCCCTGAGGGAAACTAAGTCCCAAATCAGGGGTTGATCATGCCCCGAATCCACCAGGCCTGTCATCTCTGTCCCATTTATCCAAATAGGGATAGTTAGTTTAGCCAGGGTCTGCTTATGGGTTTGACTTTCCACCATCCACATCTGTCCATAATCACACTCCACATGTGGCCAAGAGCGAGACAAGTGTCCTGTGCACCCACACAAGAAGCAAACTCCCCCAGCTGGGCTCCAGCCTTGTGCCTAATATTCAAGGTGACCCCTTCCTTTGTGACTTGTCTGCTCCCGCCCCCTGGTTGAGAGATGGCGTAGTCCTAGAAGCCTTTGTCTGGGCTGGGGTTTTCCACAGGGAACCAATCCAGGGCCCTGCGCCCTACTGGGTCCCCTAGGGATTGGCACTTCTGTGCCCAACACTGGACCATCAGTCTTCAAATTGCCCCAACTAGGTTCTCCTTTGAATAGAGGGACCCCGTTGGCTTCAGGTGGTCTCTGGCATGACACATCCAAAGCCATTTCAGCAGCTAGATAGTTTTTTATAAGCCAGACTACATTGGCTAGTGTCTCGGGACAGTGTCTGAGTACCCAGTCTCTATCCCCAGCCAGGAGTATGTGGGCAAAATGCTTCACCAAGATGAGTTTGGACACCTTGAGTCCAGTCTGAGTCTCGGGCTTTAACCATTGTCATCACATGGGGCTGGGTCCTCAGTCATCCACTACAGAAAATGCTCTAGGTCCATGTAGCCATCGTCTTACCAAACCATACCCTTAGGCCTAGGTTGTTCAACAGTCCGGGTCAATCAGTCTTCCCACTTCTCCAGGGGTGGGAAGGTCATGCCTGCAGTCTGCACCATTTTGTCACTGATGTTTCTACATACTAGGGCACCCCGTAGGTCCTAAACTGGGTCCCAGCACTCCTTTAGGCCTCTGCTCTGCAGTGACCAAGGGTTTCAACACACCAGTCCAATCCCTCTGGCTGATCCCAGATAGTCCACCCCTTCCAGAATGCCTCCCTCTCTTCCCTCAGAATACTTCTGTAAAGCTGTGGGCCTAACTAGGTTCCCTAGCTAAGGTAAAGGTGCTTTTCCAATACAAGTTGGTTCAGTTGATTCATCCTCCCTCCAGGGTTGCTGTGCATCAATTGCCTGAGGAATCCTTGCCTTGATTCATCCCAAAATATTACCTGGGCTCCCATCATCTGCTATAGAATATTTCATCCCTCTCCCATTGGCCCCCCAGCCACCAGGAGAATCCAGGATGGGCTTCCCTCTTCCTCCACAGTGTTGGGGTGAAGAGGTCGTGGGGGAGGAGGACCCCCCTCCATACAGGATGCAGCAGGGGCAGCTCTCAGACTCTATTTCGAGGGGTGCACTGTGAGGACGGGGGGTTCTAGAGCTCCTGGAACCTCTGGAGGGCTCTGAAGACTTTGTGGAAGGACTCATCCATGTTGAGGCAGTACCCTCCGTGTAGGGGGATGCAATTCTCCTGGTCGAAGTCCAATGCCTCCTCTTTGGGCACCTGCTGCTGTAGGTCCAGGTTGGCCTCGTTGCCCACAAGGATCATGGGAAACTAATCCTGGTCTTTGATCTGCAGGGTTTGGGTGTGGAACTTGCTGATCTCATTGAAGCTGCTGTGGTCACTGATGGCATAAATGAGCATAGGCATATGTAATGCTCCTGCAGACCCCCAAACTCCCCATGCTCTGCCATGTCCAGGAAGTCTAGCTGGGTCGGGGTCCCATCAATGCTGCAAATCTTCATGTAGAAGTCCTCAGTTGTGGGCTCATAGTCAGAGACGAAGTACAACTGGATGAACTCAAGACCTACTCTCCAAACTAGTTGGAGCTGGATTTCTCCCTTTTAAGCTCCTCCCTGCAATTCTGACATCTCTCACATGAGCCTCGGGCGGGTAGGGCCACCTGAGACCACATTAGTTTGTTAGCCCTGTTGCGGGGGGATTGTATATTTTATCTCAGGGAGATGTTACTGTGAGCGGTGTGGGGGAGGGGGAAGGCATGCTTGTGTGCAGGGGTTGTTACTGGGAATGGTGTGCGTGTGTGGGTGCATGTATAATTGTTGTGTACGTTGCAGAGTACCTCCCCTGTGGGGATGGCGTATGTAGTGAGCAAGGAGTATATTTTGCTGTGTGGTACAGTGTCTTTTCCTCTCTGGGGACTGAGAAACGGTTTCCCCATGCATGTTACGCTCAGTCCCCAGCCACGGCCTCGGAGCAGGCGAGTATCTTGATCATATCAGTCTGAGCTGGTTAGATCCCCTGTACACCACACAGCAGCATAGGTCACCGATCCCCTTGGGGTTGTGTGTGTATGTGTGTGTGTGTGTGTGTGTGCGAGGGTCTCTGTACAGTATCTCTCCCCCATTTCCCGCCTGAGAGCATGTGGGGGGTTCTGTGTCCTGGCTGGTGCCCCACACAGGATAGTGCTGCTGTCTCTCCCCCCAGTGAGCTGGGCGGGTATACCGCCCATCCCCCCCTCCCTCAGCGTCTCTCTCTCTCACACACACACACACACTACCCTCCCCGCCAGAACCCCGGGCAGCTCATGCGCAGTAGGGAGCCGGGAGGTGATGTAATAGCTCAACAGTCTTCTCCCCCTCCCCCCTTGCAGTTCTCCGAGCTCAACCAACATCCGGGCTCTTTACGCTGCGCCGGAGGCGGCGGCTGTACCAGCAGTACTCGCAGCTGTCCTGGGCCCAGGCTTGAGAGAGGAGGGAGCGCGCGCGCGCGCTGGCGAAGGGACGGCAGGGAGCGCGCGCGCCGCACACAGCGGGGTGGAAGGAGAGAGAGAGAGCGGCGGCTCGGGAGCGCGCGTGTGCCGCTCAGGGAGGGGAGCGGGGTCTGTGGCGCTGCGCGAGTCGGCGGCGGGCGGCGCTGGGCTCGAGGCAGGGCGAGAGCGAGCGGGGTGGGGGCGGGAGGGAGGGGGGATGGAGCTCTTGGTTCCCCCCTGGCCAGAGAGCCGCTCTCCGCAGCTGCCTGTGAATGAACTGAAGCGAGGCCGCCGGCCCGCCGGCCCAGCCCCGCCGCGGATCCCTCCCTACGCCGGCCCCCTCGGAGCGCAGAGCGCGGCCCTGCCCTCCCTCCGCTCCCCGGAGAGCCGGTGCCTTTGGCCGCCGCCGCCGCGGGGTAAGTAAGTGCTGCTGCGCAGTGCGGGGCTCGAGTGGGGAGGCGGGCCAGGCGGGCCGAGCGGGAGGCGGCGGGGCGGAGTACGCTAGGGCGCTGAGGGCCGCGCCGCCGCCTGGGCCCCGGGCCTGTAAACAAGCGGGGGCGGCCCGCGCGGGGTTACGGAGAGAGGCGGGAGGGGAGTGTGACTCCCCCTCCCCCCGGACCTGCCATCCCGGGCAGCAGCCAGCACCGAGGCGGTCTCTGCGAGCCAGTCTGTCCCTGCCTGGGATGCTGCACTCAAGGGGCCGAAGGTGACCAGGGGCTTGTCCCCGCATTGCGGAGTAGGGAATAGCGGGGTGACAGCCCCCCTTCCGCTCCCCTGGGTGAGAGCGGCTCCGGGTCTGCTGCAAGTAACCATCCAGCAGCGCCCCTAGCCCGCCGAGCTCCATTAATAATGCTTATAAACACCCCCCACACACGCCGCCGCCAAAGCACTTGGGGCAGGGCACCATTAAGAAACACATCTATTTATAAAGCACCCCACCCCACCAAGGGTCGCTGCACAAACACTCCCAGATAGTGATTTCTTATTTTTATAGCAGCCGCCGCCTCCAGGCTTGCCTCCCTAGGCGAACCATCGAAACACATTTCAAGTTTGAATTACATATTAAGGTCTTTAAAAACAATTTTGAGAACCAAAGCAAAGGTTACAAAGATGAAGCATGTGCTGTCAACATTTCCCATGTTAAGAGTGGGTGGGAGAGATTAGGCCCCTTGTAAAACTATTGCCCATTGACGTACTTGGTAATCTTGGCTGGTTTGGGTTTTTTAAATGTCAGAGATGTGGGCTGAGAAATTTTTTTTTCTGCAGCTAACATGAACTGTACTAGCCAGAGATGTGTTCAGGATGTGCTGCAAATTAATAGTTTTGAAAGAACTGATTTGATAAGCATTTTTTTGACATACATACTGGTGAACAATAAGGGCCCCTCAATTTTGCTGTCTTGCTTACCAGGGACTAGTTTTAGGGTTGGTGTGTCCTTTGACAAGTTAGAAAGCCTGTTGCTTGTTGAGAATCACTATTGTGATAACATTACGATTTAGGGCTCATTATTTCATACAAAGGAGTTATTCTTTGAAGTAGATACCTATCTTAAAAGGAAAGACATTGAGGGCAGTAAGGCTTCAAGTTCCACATGCCATTCACCAGTGATGAGGGGGCAGATTTCCCTGGCATGTGTGGGGCCTAAGTCATCAGTGTTTTCAGAATTTAAGCTTCCATTTATAAAATAATGTTTTATATCTTATGACTGTGAGAGAGGGCCTTCCAAATGTGGACCAGTGCAGTATTTTTTTGGGTCTTCAGAAAAATTGTTCCTGTGCTGCTGCTGCTCCAGACTTTGCCAAGCCTTTGTAATGTGAAACTAACAAGTTTCACTGCTGTTGAAACCTGGGGGAAGCAACTATCAAGAATTGTCAGTTTCACACAGTTCTTTCTGTGTCAGTTTCACATTCCTTCTCCTGCTTGGGAAAGTTATGAACAGCAGCAGAGGCAAGAACTGGAGAGTTATTCAGAGGAAAGAGGAGTGAGAAAATTGGGGTTGGGGAAGATGTGAAGTACCAGACACCCTTCTTTAAGCTCCTGTTCCCTTCCAACAGTTGGGATGAGGCGGGGGGATAGGAGCTTCATATTTAGTATCAGATTCTTTCTGTCAGCATCCATAAAGATGGAACTCTTGAAGAAGGAAAAACATTTTGGTAGAAATTTCAGCATCCTTCCCTGCAGTAGGGTTTGGGCATCTCAAGTGTTTTGCTCCTGAATCTCTCTCGCTTTATGGGGTCTCCTCTCACCTGCCCCCTTGTATCCAAGTCCTAGTCTACACTCAGTTTTGCTGGCATAGCTAGTGGACGGGAAAAAATCAGACCCCTAGCCAACACAGTTGTGTTGGCAAAAGCCCCAGGGTAGATGCAGTTAGACTAGGAAAAAAAAGTCCTTTTCTTAATATAACTTTGGGGGGGGGGGAGTGAGAACACTTTTGCTGGTATAAGATGCTTCTGATATATATAGCTATACTGGCAAACCCTTTCTAATGTAGACAAGGCCTAACTCTTGCTAATTACTTTCCAGAGGACTAAGCTTATCTGGTAAATTTTCGTTTTTCATGGTCGGTATTCAGTGCTTTTATTCTTTTTTAAAAAGTGAATATATGGAAAACATAAAGTATTTACTGAACTTTCTATGGCAAGGTTTGTAGAGATGTTTCAGTGGAAAAACTCAGAGGAGGATGGAGATATCACGGGATTGGTGAGAGTTGGTTGAAGTTAACATGTCTGAACAGGCATTCACTTGATAGTTTGATGCAAATTCCATTACAAGCAGTATATTATACAAAGATTCCCCCCCCACACCCCCGGTGAAATCAAGCTGGTTGTTTCTTACCTAGAGTATAGTTTAAACACAGTTAAACTGAGTCACGTTCTTGCTGAGACCAGCCTTTTAATACCCCAAAATACTTTAATGGCCCCAAAATACTTCTTAAAGATTTCAGTTGGGTGTGGTTTAATTTGTAAACTTATGCAACTTATATGTTTTAGACTGCAGCTGTCAATAAAAGAGAGATCTTATTACACTTTGCCATTTTAGTGGAATTCAGATTAAGCATCTGCTTCCCAAAGATGAATTAAATATAAACTTTATGTAACTATAATAACCATGATTAATTATTTTGCAGTATTGTGAATGTCAAAATCAGGCCTATTCTAATGTCATAAGATTTTTTGAGTTTATCAACTCAGCAAAAATTGTGTAAGATTTGGGTAAAACAAAGGTGTGTCCATAACTTTTATTTAATTATTTTGTGACATTTTAAGTGCCTTCTAACATCTTGGGAAGTACAGTCTTATTACAACTGAATATACAGTTTTGTAACAAATGTTCATTCTTTTTATAAAATGAATCCGACTATTGTTTAATTCAGTGGTTTACTGCCCTAGGTTTTTATTTGTGGAAATTTGGGTTCAAATGCTATTTGGGTCACAAATGAGAATAAGTTTAGTTCCATCCTTGATCCTAGGCTCTGTTGATCCACACCATAAAAATGTTCACTTTGGCATGAGTTGCTGTTTTATAGAGACCAATCACTTGAATAACAAAGATGCCTTAGGTCAAGATGGTAGTGCTTTGGCAGAGCTGTGTAGGGAAGCTTGTGCAGCTCCTGCCATGTTATGTGTGGCCCTGGCAATTTAGTCCAGGGTTCACTGAAATCGTCATATCAGTGCTTTAAATGGAGGCGGTCAACTTGAAAGCTGGTTTATTTTTCATATGCAAAAGTCCCTCTGTTCTCTTGCAGATTTTTGTGGTTTTATGATCACATCTTCACATTTTTAAAAATGTTTTTTCTCCAACATCTTTCAGATATAATAATATTAGGTGTCAAAAATCTCACTTCTGTCAAGTTTAAGTTGTCTGTCCCTTCAGTAAAGTGCCCATCACTGTAGTAAGTCCAGTGTACAAAGTGTAAAGCCTCTGTAAATGTAGTATAGTGCCTGAAAGGATGTTGGTGGCTGAGAATGTTTGTTGGGCTGTAGGTCCATGAAATGCAGTCCAACAAGTGTTGCTGTATTTCATGATACCTAGACAATGCGTGTCTCGGCTGCATAGGGAGATTGTCTTTCCATGGCTTCTCTGAGTAACGTTGTGGTATAGGTAGGAGGGGATTTCATAAGCATTCAAGATAAGGGGGTAAATTCTTGAAATCATAAGACTAGCAAGAACATTTAAAAGGAGGGGGAACCAAAATGCAGGGAAGGGTGAGAAGTGCTATTGGACAACTGTACTGCCCAGTTGGAAGAATCTCTGCCCTAAATAGCATACAGTCCAAAAATAATTCTAAAATTTCTCATCCAGTAAACTGGCAATGTAGATCGCTGTTTTGGCAGATATTTGTAACTTATTTAACATGTATTTTATCAGGTCCCTTATTGTTCTTTTACAGTTGTTGGTGTATAGAAACTAGTTATTCCAACATGTATTAGTGTTTTATGAGGTCTTCATTAAAAAGATGTTTTCTGCCTTGTTTTTTGGTTGATATATCAACAATACTTTTTAACGGGTATTTAAATTGATTGTTGAAATCTTCAGTGGAAAATGACTATATAAGTTCTCTCTAATAGTATTCAAGGAAAACTCAGGTTTTGTAAAAATAGTTTTACCAAAACTAAACTTGGAGTCAAATTTGACCAAAAACGATAGAAGTATTTTCTTGAAAAATGAGAGAATAATAAATCTAATGAAAAGTTTTTAATCATAAATACTCCTGTGTGCTTACAATAAACATTTCAGTGGGGCCACTGGACGATCAAGATGATAAAGGAGCAATCAAGGACGATAGGGCCATTGCGGAGAAACTAAATGAATTCTTTGCATTGGTCTTCACGATTGAGGATGCGAGGGAGATTCCCAAACCTGAGCCATTCTTTTTAGGTGACAAATTTGAGGAACTGTCCCAGATTAAGGTGTCATTACAGGAGGTTTTCGAACAGATTGATAAACTAAACAGTAATAAGACACCAGCATTAGATGGTATACATCCAAGAGTTCTGAAGGAATTCAAATATGAAATTGCAGGACTACTAACTGTAGTCTGTAACCTATCATTTAAATTAGCTTTTGTACCAAATGACTGGAGGATAGCTAATGTGATGCCAATTTTTAAAAAGGGCTCCAGAGGTGACCCTGGCAATTACAGGCTGGTAAACCTGACTTCAGTATCGGGCTAACTGGTTGAAACTATAGTAAAGAACAAAATTGTCAGACACGTAGATGGACATAATTTGTTGGGGAATAGTCAACATGGTTTTTGTAAAGGGAAATTATGCCTCACTAATCTACTAGAATTCTTCGAAGGGGTCAACAAGCATGTGGACAAGGGGGATCCAGTGGATATAGTGTATTTAGATTTTCAGAAAGCCTTTGACAAGTTCCCTCAGCAAAGGCTCTTAAGCAAAGTAAGCAGTCATGC